CTAAGAATTCGCAGACAGCTATTTTTTTTAATTGTGCATCACTTTTGCTTCATTGATTTGGTTTCCTTTTCGCAGTCAAGGTATCTTCGACTCCCATCGTCAAAAAGCATGTCGAAGTCAGTTAGGCCACTATTACTCGTGCTAAAATGCAGAGCGCTTACACTACCCATTGAGCTGGGAGTCTCAAAATCTGACATCTCAAGGTCGCCACCTTCCACTAATTCGTCCATTGCACCGAGGTCCAACAGTTCTGGGTCAGGCTGCATAAAGTGATGGTCCTCGTACACCAAAGTGCGCCTACTTCCGCCATCTGTAATGTAAGTTTTTCCTTTTCCGATCCACTCACTATTTCTTACAAGTTGCCGCTTCAAGGCAATACTAATTAACTTACGCCGACTATTGTAGCTATCAGTGAATTTACCTTCCATAAGCTGGATTTTTGGATCAAACTCCATGAGGCTTCCATAACGTGTTTGAGTGAAACTCTGTTTAGACGATGAAAGGTTCATTGAAGTTGCCCCCGTCCTTGTAAATAGTCGTGTGTTTATCTTTTCTAACGACGCGAAATCACTTGCTGCTAAATGACTAGCTTTGACGGTAAGATCTTTCTTCTTTCCTGGACTACTGATCCTCAGATTAGACATTCACCCCTAGGGTCAGGATCAGTATAATAAGTTATGTCAATTAATAGAACTTCCAATTTACTTTTATTCAAGATAAGAAAAATGCTGTATCTGTGGCAAGAGCATAAACCAAGAGGTAGATTTAATTAGTATTGTTTTTCACCCATTACCTATTCATTTAAAGGGTGGCTCGGGAATCTACCAAACTACAAATGATGTGGGATAACTATAACATTAGGAGAATTTTAGCTTTATTTGTCAACGAAAGCAGCAGAGGCCACTTTTGGAATGTTATTATACTTGCTGTCAAAAAGCACTCAAAAGCAGAAGTGAATGCATGCGATCAGACAACCACCTATCCACCCAAGAATGGACAATTCACCCTACATTTAGTTATATTGCGTTCTCAGTGCAGACCAGTCAACGAAAATCTATTTTTTAAAGCTTGTTGCTTTTAATGTAGCGTTGCATGTTGACGTTTCTTTTAATTTTGTGTATAATTTATCATCCCATGTATTAGCAGCTCAAAGTTGCCCTTATCGCCGGCTGGGAATCCGCCCTTGCTTTTTCTTCTTAAAATTTGGTGGAGCGATTGCTTTACTATAGCCCCTCCCATCTTCGCGATATTTAGTAGTCATAAATAGGGCAGAAATTTTGAAAAAAATTGTGCAAATTGGTTTATATTACGCCTTTACCAGTAATACGCGTTTTGTGGCACATCACGATATTATCCTTGGCTGATTTATTCTCCGATTTGAGCACAGAATGCTCTGAGAGCTCCCAGATCCCATTGCTCTGTACCCCTGGAGGTCAGCTGCTGCAATGTTGCATTTAGCCGGTGATAAATT